ATATTTTAGCTCCTGAGCTAGCATCATATATTTTAGCTCCTGAGCTAATGTGAAAGTTGAGTCATTTCTCCGTTCTCTCTGTCAACGCTCAGGTTCAAATTAAATTGCTGAACATCAGAAAATGTTCAAAATTGACATTCAAGCTGAATGGAGATCACTCTGGAGCAACTTGTTTACTTTTTCTTTTTTACCCAGAATGCATTGCAGCATAAAAATGGCAACACTCGTGTCATTATTTTTTGCAAAATTCTAAAAACGTGGCCTACAGTATTTTTAAGTCTTGTGCTGTTCCATCTGGTCTCTGAGGTTCTTTTGAAGGTTTTGTCCTCTGACTGCTCTGTTCTGTCCCTCAGGCTGAAGAGCAGTTACGGATCGTGGAGGAGCAGAGAAAGATCCACGAGGAGCGCATGAAGCTGGAGCAGGACCGTCAGAAGCAGCAGAAGGAGGAGCAGAAAATGATCCTGGGCCGGGGCAAGTCCAGACCCAAGCTGTCCTTCTCCCTGAAGGCCACAGAATGAGACTCGGCCCCCCCACCTCCCACCCTTCATCTGAACGTCTCGTCCCTTCTCCCCCGCTCCTCGTCGCTCACTGCGGAACGCTCGCTTCGTTTTGGAAGTGCTAACGGACAGTTTGGGACAGGAGTCCACGGAGTCCAAACTCGTGCACGCTCCTGGTCCTGAAGAGGAGGACGAAGCTCCTTTTTCTCCCAGACTGCACAGACAGCTCCTGTTGGTTTTGTTGCTTTTATTTTCACTTTTAGGGACTTTTCATGTAGATGTTCCTGATCCATGAGTCTTTAATCTGGTGTACCATCAGCAGACCCAGACCTGATGGAGGTCTTCCTGCTGTCCTCTCCGTGTAAAGAGTCCCAGACAGCTCAGGAGTCCGTCAGCCCGTCGTCTTCCTGTCACCATCCTTTCAAAATAAAAGCAGAGCACAGAAAGCTTTGGATTCGTCTGATAGCTCGGTGTCTTTCAAGAGAGGGTCTGGACTCCTGAGCTGCCTGTGGTTCTGATCCGAGGAGAGGTCCGTCTCACATGGACCGTCCTCTGTCTTGTAAAACTGATCCATGAAAAACTGGAGTTTAATTTGAAGAGACGGTTCTGACCCTCACTCATGTTGTAGTAAGTTAAGTTGGCGCCGCACTCGGTAAGTCGGAGGAGACACCTGTCCAGGTAAGACCGGGTCAGAGGTCAGAGTGTGTGCGCGTGTGTGTGAGTTTGTTTGTGTGTATGTGTGTGTGTGCGTGCGTGTCTGACCTCAGGTGGGTATATTAACTTTATTTTGTGGAATCTTAAATTTGTCATGTGAACTTTGACCCCTCCATTTGTTTGTCAAGGGACTGAACAGATCAATAAACTCATTGAACGGATCCGCCCACAAATGTCTTTATTCTTTACAGTCAGAACCAGAACTCTGTTTATTTTACAAACTATTTATTTTACAAACTGTTTATTTTACAAAGAAAAATCTACTTGACACAAAAGTTTGGTCTGAAGAGAAACGTTCAGATTTTCTGGTTAACGTTAAAGTGGAGTGGCAGAAACTTCAGGCGGTCGTTTTGTTTCTGGAGGAGGTGAAGATTTCACTTCCTGTCTCAGGTTTTCAGTGGAGGTCCAAGGGTTGAGGTGTGTGACCTCTGACCTCTAAACAGGCCTGAGTTGATCCCTTGTGAGGACATTTTCAGAGTTTTTTGTGAATCTCCTGTCAGAGCTCACTGTTCCTGATCCTGATCCAAACGCAGGTTCTGATGGAGCTGCTGCAAATTAAACTGATGGAAACAAGAAGTTTATGAAGTCAGATTATTTCCACTGTACAAACGGAAATTACAAGGAGATTTGATTATTTCTAGTCAAATTTTATTTTTCATTCCACTCCTGGAACGTTCAGCTGGTAGAAGGTTTTGTTTAAAGTCTCAGCTGATGTGAAGACGTGAGCGGAGGTTTCCATCCACGTCACAATAATCCACAATAATCCAGTTCTGATATGAGCTGCAGACGGGTCAGATGAGTAAATCATCAGGGTTTTTTACTGTCACTTCAAAGGAAATCACATGTTCACTCCTGGAATATGAAACAAGTTGAATATTAGACAAATGTATCCAAACGTCTTGTTCTGAAGTCGGGTGGTGGAGGTGTAGCGGCTTGAGCAGGGAGGTCCAGACATCTCGTTCCACAGCCAGCTCTTCTGAGAGGACCCCGAGGTGTTCACAGGCCAATCAAAGTCTCTCCAGTGTGTCCTGGGTCTTCCCTGGGGTCTCCTCCCAGAGGTGAGGGGAGGAACGTAGACTGACCAGTAAACCGCTTTGCCTTACAGCTCAGCTCCCTCTTCACCGCACTGGACCGACACAGAGTCCACAATACTGTAGATGCTGCACCAGTTCGTCTGGTCACGCTCCATTCTTCCCTCGTGAACAAACCCCCGAGACACTAACTCCTCCACTGGTGGAGTCCAACTCCCACCCTGAAGGGGTCCCACTTACAAGATTCTTTATTGTCGTTCACATCACATGTGGTACATGAGGTGGAACAAAGTTGTGTACCCAAAAGTAATCTAAATATATTGAATGTAAAGGATAGGGTTATTATTTATAATTTATTAACGATACGGTGCATCACCCTTATTTTCAAGAGAATTGTAATCTTTGGTTTAAAATCAAATCCCAAAAGAAGAAGCCAACGTGTTTTCTGAGTTCTTTCGTGTTGTAATCTTCTTTATGTTGAAACACCATGCATGTGACATTTATTGAAATAAGTATACCAAAACAGCGATATAAAACTGGTAATACTGAAACGAAAACATGATGTAAAATATCTTTTGAACTTCGAGAAGAAATGTCATCTAAATTTAGACAAAGCTTAAAAGAAGTTTGTAAAACTGATCCTAGATTCATGGACTAAAATAAAGTTAAAGTCAGCTGGCACTTTGACGTGGTATTTGCCAGATGGGAGGACATTTTATTTCCTATCAGATCGTAGCTTCCTCAGTTACCAGGTGGACGCAGAGAGGAAAGTGACCTTCTTCATGAAGTGGAGACCTCCTCCAAACTTGGGTTGCCAAGGCAGATCCTTTCCAGACTCGGCTCCGGGGGTGTCCTGAGCTTCTGTGTATGCGTGGACTCTTCTCCGACACACACTTCAACCCACAACGTGGCAAAGACGACAAAGTCGACTGCCGGCAATGTGAACCAAACTCCTGCACCGCTTGTATAAGGAAAGAACAACGGGCCCACAATCCCATACTCACGGAGCACCAACCACAGTGTACCCTGAGGAACACCGTTGAAAGCCTTCTCCAAGTCCACCAAGCACATGTAGACTGGCTGGGCAAACTCCCATGACACCTTCAGGACCCTACTGAGGGTAAAAAGCTGGTCCAGCGTTCCACAGCTAATGGGGCTGCGCTAATCCAGTGGCACTGTCCCCAATGTCCACAGGATGTTGCAATGGCATGTCAACCAAGACAGCCCAACATCCTGAGCCTTATGGAAATCAAGGCGGATCTCACCCACTCCTGGAGTCCTGCCGTCGGAGCTTTTAACCACCTCGGCAACCTCAGCCACAGTTATGGACAGACCAACCCCAAAGTCCCTCGACTCAGCTTCCTCCATGGAAGACGTGCCAGTGGGTTTGAGAAGGTCCGAGAAGTACTCCTTCCACCTCCTGATGACATCACTGGTTGAGATCAGCAGCACCCCACCTTCAGTGAACACAGCGTCAGTGAAGCGCTGCTTCCTCGTCCTCAGTCACCTGATACTTTGCCAGATTCTCCTCGACGCCAACCGAGAGTCTCTATCCAAGGCGTCGCCAAACCCGGCAGGCTCTCACTACACATTTGGGTCTACCGGGTGTGTCCGGCACCTTCCCCCCACCATCTGATCCAACTCACTACCAGGTGGTGATCAGTTGACAGCTCAGCTCCTCTCTTCACCCGAGTGTCCAAAACAAACGGCTGCAAATCAGATGACACAACTACAAAGTCAATCATTGATCTACGACGTAGGGCGTCCTGGTGCCAAGTGCACGTATGGACACCCTTATGTTTGAACATGGTGTTCATGATGGATAAACTGTGACTAGCACAGAAGTCCAACAACAGAACACCGCTCGGGTTCAGATCAGAGAGGCTGTTCCTCCCAACCACGCCCCTCCAGATCACACTGTCATTACCCACGTGGCCATTGAAGTCCCCCAGCAGAATAAAGGAGTCCACAGCTGGCGCACCTTCCAGCACCCTCGCTAAGGACTCCAAGAAGGCCGGATACACTGAAATGCAGTTTTTCACGTAGGCAGAAACGACTGTCGGAATCCATCCCGTCAGTCAACGGCGCAGGGAAGCCCCCTCTCAAGGAGATTGTTTCCAGAGCCCATGCTGTGCGTCGTGAGCCCAACTATATCTAGTCAGTACCTCTCAACCTCACGCAAGAACTCAGGCTCCTTGCCCACCAGAGAGGTCACATGTCCCAAGAGCCAGCTTAGGTAAGCCAGGGTCAGAGCGTCAAGGCGTTCATGCACCCGACTCATATGGCCCCTCCTGCAGGTGGTGGATCCATCAGAAGACAAACCCATGCTGCTCGTTCAAGCGTAGCCTGACCGGACCCCATCGGTAGAGACCAGTCACCATGTCCTCACCAGTGAGCCCCAACCCCAGGCCCAGCTCCATGGTGTGTCCCTGGTAACACATGTCCAGGCAAAGGGACAATGGACCCTTGCTTTTCCCCGTCTATGAGTTTTTGGAATCACTCTTTGTTTGGTCTTTCACTAGAACCAGCCTTGGGAGACCCTACCAGGAGCAACTACAATTTCCCCCCACCAGCTCAGCTCCTGGATCATTCAGGCGCACAAACTCCACCACGATGGCGATTCAAGGAGGAATCAAATATAAAACAAGTCAAATATAAAACCTGCAGCTTTTACATTGGATTTATTCTCAGTAAAACTTCACCGATTGAAAAAAAAACATTTTTCATCTTCCTTGAGAATAAAACTTGAAGATTTCTGATATTGTGAGTCCAAAAGGAAGAAGTGGGTAAAAGATAAAGGATGGATGTATTCAAGAAACATTTAGACGAGCTCCGAGGTTCAGAACCAGTTGGAGATTTAAAAGAATATGCTGCTTTTATAGATACTTTATTAATCCCAGGGGGGGTTACAGGCTTCCAGTTGTAATTATACAGAAAAAACACAAAAAAGAAGAATACTGTATTTGGAAAAAGACTGAGTACAATTTTTTGATGGTTCTTCTGTTCGGTGAGGTTTATCTTTGCTTTGAGGTGCTGCTGTCCAGTCAGAGACACAGGAGTTAAATCATGGATCCTAATGTTTGATCAGAATCAGTTCCTTCGTAAAATGAACTCTGAAGATTGAATCCTTATGGAGAACTTGAAACATTTGGGGAAAGCTGCAGGTCAGGACTAGATGTTTGATGATTAAAGGAGGGCTGTGGGTTCGGTTCTAGGGTCCTGGAGCCGGTTCGGGTTCATACCAGTGCTGAAAGGTCGCCCCCACCCACTGGAACTCACCGCGGCTCTCCGCGCGCTGCTACCCGCCCAGAGGCGCTCCTCCCCGGCCTGGGAGCTCCGCAGAGTCCCGCTGCTTGCAGCTCCAACAAACCAGCTTTTTTCTTATAACATTTAAATGACCACATTTAATTTAAATCATTGTGTTATACTGACCTTTATTTAAATACAATCCTAAAGTTTGAACTCTGCAAAACTAAAATATGAAGCAAAAGTAAAAGTTTCAACAGAAGCAGATGTTTGTGCAACAATTAAAACTCAATTTAATTAGAGTTTAACAGTCTGCACTTAATCTCTTTACGTTAAGCACTTTGGTAACAGTTCCTGTTTTAAATGTTCTATACAAATACATTTAACTTGACTTAACATCCTGCGACGCGCGCACGCACTGCTGCGCGTGTGTTCAATGTACGGTTTTAACGTTAGTTTCGCTGAAGGCCTAAAATAAAAAGGTTAATTTAGAAGATGATCAATTTACATCCAACTATCTTAGTTTTTGAAAACAAAAAGTTTTCAATTTATTCAGTTTCTGTTCAGATTGTGTAAAAACACATAAAAGAGGAAAAGAAAGAAAACAATTAAAACTTAAATATTACATGAACTAAGAAACAATCTTAAACAAGCAAATATCTAAAACTTAATTCAAATAAACTTTTCTGCAAGATTTTCAGTTCTGTTGTTATAATAGGAGCAGAACTTCTGCCTGTCCTGGTTCGGTTCTGGTTCTGTGGACTCTGCGTGACCCTGTTCCTGATGAGCTGAGGGGTCTGTGCTTCATAAAATGAGGAATTATTTTTTATTTGAAATAAAAATCCCTCCAGTTTTTATTCTACATGTTCCATTTTAATCCGCTAGTGGGCGCTGTTGGCTTTCTAATGAGCCCAAACTGAAGTTTCGGCTCCGAGTCCAGTTCGGCGTCCAGACCTGAGTCCAGCTGCGGTTCTGATGCTTCTAATCACAACTACAGAACTTAACGAACATGTAGAGAAAAAAATAAAACACCTGTTCAGGTGGACCAATCAAATCCAGAGATTTCTGAATTTTTTCCCTCTAAAATTATTTTAATTAATAAAATAATTTATTCAAAATAGAATGTATCTTTGTTAAATGTTTAAAGTTTATTTTAAAGACGTGTTTAGTCCAAGAAGATTTTCTGTCTGCTGTGATTGACAGCAAAGCTGCTTTGAACTCGCCCGCCGAGCGGCCAATCACCAGCCGCGGTGGGTGGGGCCTGTCTCCTGTAGGCGTGGCCTGCGCAGACCCAGCTCCAGCTCTTAACTCAGTCTGGGTCCGCCGCAGTTACTCTGCTGCAGGTTCGGGAGCAGCAGCATCTCTGTGCACGCGCTTGTGTTCCGGAGGGAGCGACGCTGCGGGTCCGGAGTCGCGGGACCGAACCGACCTGGGTTCTGAGCACCTGGACCGCCTTCTGGGACCTGGACCTGTTTAGTATGAGAAGTTCTTCCATCCCGGCCCGTTTGGTTCCTGTCATCCTTCACACATCTGATCATCTGGTTCTGTTGGGCCATCCGAACCTCATTGTTTCATTCTGGTGTCGCCAACACCCCCCCACCTCCCACTGCAGCTGAAAGCGGAATATCTGGTTCTGGTTCTGGATTTCTGAGGGATCTATCTTTGTGTTCTGGTTCTGGAAGGATCATGGATCTGAGCGGGTCTGAGTGAACCCGGGTCTTTCCTCTGGGGATGTGCTGATCGGGGCTTGTGGTTCGGTTCGGATGCGCTGGATCAGGATATATTCTGGACATTGGTTCTGATTCGGTTCTGTTTGGTTCCTGAGTGGACTGACGCGGTTCTGAGGCGGATCCGGGACGCGCGCGGGCTCACCATGACGCTGTGGAGATATTATTATGTTGGAGTTCTGGTTGTCTTCTTCAGATTGGACCGGGTTCGGCCACTCATCCTGGAGTCCATCTACTGGAACACGACCAACACCAAGTAAGTGGGCCGGCGGGTCTGGGTCTGGGTCCGGGTCTTCTGCGCGGAGAGTCCGCTGAAAAACGCACAGACTAAACCAGAACCGGGCCGGGTTTAGGTTGGAACCAGAACCTTCAGGGCCAAAGAGAAAGAGGTTAATAAAATAAAATGTGACCCGGTTCTCCTCCTGGTTCTGGGTCTGTAAAACACCAAATAAACCCATCAGAACAGAAGAACCGAGCCCACATGGAGCTGGTCAGGTCCATGGACCGGGCCGCTCGGGTCCGGTTCGGTTCTGTCGGTATGCGCGCCGATCCCTCTGCGCCGCGCGCGCCGGAGCTGAAATAAAGACAGGCTCCTGGTTCTGTTTGGCTCCTGAGGTCCAAAAGAATTTTATTTTCTGCTTCTACTGTAGTTATTCGAACATTTGGAAAACAAACAGAACCTTTGGTTCTGGTTCTGGTTCGAGTCGGAGGGATGGACATGTTTGCGCTCAGCGGATCAGGTGGACCTCCTGGTTCGGCTCCTGAGGGCCTCCGCTGAGTCTGGATCCGGTTCTGCTGAGTGTGGTCACGGAACACTCATGGACTCTGCTGCGGAACCTTCTGTTGGAGGACCAGGAGGAGGTCCAGTCCGGTTCTGGTGGTTCTCCTCGGTCCCGCCGGGGTTCGTCCTCTGATCAGTTCGGCTTCAGGCTCCAGAGGAGCGGCTTCAGTCCGGCTCTCTGACCGGGAGAGGAGCCGCAGGAGGCGGCTGAGGGTCGGAGGCTGGAGCGGCCCCATGGCCCCTGGTCCTGCGGGAGCCGGTCCCCGGGTCTGGTCCTGCGGGAGCCGGTCCCCGGGTCTGGTCCTGCGAGAGCCGGTCCCCGGGTCTGGTCCTGCGGGAGCCGGTCCTGGAGTGGCTCCTGGTCCTGCGAGAGCCGGTCCTGGAGTGGCTCATGGTCCTGCGAGAGCTGGTCCCCGGGTCTGGTCCTGCGGGAGCCGGTCCTGGAGTGGCTCCTGGTCCTGCGAGAGCCGGTTCCGTGGTCTGGTCCTGTGGGAGCCGGTCCCCGGGTCTGGTTCTCCGGGAGCCGGTCCCGGGTCTGGTCCTGCGGCCTGGTTTTGTGCAGTTTTGCGCACAAAAAGCGCATTTTGAAAACTCCGCGCTGGACCCGCAGAAATCAAATAAAACTTCAACAACAGCTCGTGCTTCAGAGTTTCGTTGTAGTTTTTAATTAAAATATAAATTTTAAACTCCAGAGGCGTTTACTGCTCCTGTTTATGGAGTAAAATAAACAAAGTAAATAAAATAAAAACCTCAGTCTGAGATCAGAAACTTTCAATGAAACATTTCACAACTTGATTTAATTTATTTTATTTTGTTTTAAAACTTTTCATCTTCAGAATTTTTTTTTTTTTAATATTTTCATTCTGATGGAGTGAAATTAGCAGAAATTATTTAAAATAATTTAACCCCCCCCACCCACACACACACACACAAACACACACACACACACAAACGTCTGTTCTTTATTTCAGTAAAAATCTTTATTTGTTAACTAAAATGATGAAATGAGTTTTGACACAATCCAAGTTCTGGTTGATTAAAGACAGAACTAGTTTGGGTTCTTGTTGGTCAGCCTGAGTTCTGGAAGCAGAACCTTGTTGGGTCGTCCCCCCAGGCCCGGCTCTGACCCGTCTCATTGGTTTCTCAGAGTCCGTCTGAACTGAAAGGCTCAGGAACCGGGACCAGAACCAACTGAGAGTTTGTGTCAGAGACATGAAGGTTGAGGTGAAGGAGGTGAAGGAGCAGCTCCACCATCTGAGTGAAGACACTGGTTAAATAAAAAACCCAGGCCCCTCAGCCGCCTCCATTAAATCTGAGCTTTTCTGCCTCCTCAAAAAAAAGAGAGGGACAGAACTCCCCCTCCTCCCCCCCACTAATCCATTTTGTAGTTGGGAGGAGAAACAAGGAGAAACAAAAGCTGCTCTGCAGTTCATGAAGAGATTACAGCCAGAACCAAAGGCCCTTTGTGACCGGGCAGAGCTTGGGCCACCTCTCTGGGTCCTTCCTGTCCGAGGTGGAGGTCCATCAGAGCTGAAGTTCTTCTCTTCTCCATCCTGAGATGTTCATCAGGAGCAAACAGGGAAAAAGTCCAAAGAAAACAATTCAGTTTATTTATGAAGCACCGAGTCACATCAGAAGTCGTGTCAGGACACTGAACAGAAACATTTAAAAATAATAATTTAACATTATTAATCTGAGGAGCAGCTTAGAGTTTAACTCCATCACAGAACTCTGATCTTGAGCAAGCATGAAGGCGACAGTGGAAAGGAAAAACTCCCTCATGAGGAAGAAGAAACGTTTATCAGAACCAGGCTCAGGACGAGCGGCCATCACTTCAGGTTGGAGAGAAGTACCGAGAGCTGCTGAGCAACAGAACCAACAAGACGGAGCAAAGCTTCAGCTGGTTTAACCCTCAGTTCAGCCGAAGATCGGCTGCCGTTTGTCCTGCAGGACCCGGACCCTGAGGTCCTGCAGGAAGAGGTCCAGTCTGACACGGTTCTGCTCTGAGTTATAACTTTATTTTTTTATTTCAGGAGTTCAAACTCTGTTTTAGACTCCACCACCCAAATAAACATATATTTAAACAAATTAAATCTGTTTTTAAATGTTCACCCGGGCCGGACCGGGTCCAAAAGAACTTTTTTTACTCAAAGTAGAACATGAAACAAAATCAGTTTATTTAACGTCACTGAAGTTTGACAACTCTTCTCATTTTTATTGATTATTACTGATCATTTGTCGTTTTTAACAAACTTTTATTGTGACAAGAAGAAATAATCCATGGATATAATAAACTGAATTTTTATTAAATATATTTCAGATTATTTTAGATTAAAATCATAATATATATATATATATATATATATATATATATATAAATAAAAGTTAAAATCTGTGAAAGTGTAAAACTTTGTTGTTGAAACAGAACCGGTTCTGATTTAAAACAGCTGACGTTCTACAGTCGGTTCTGAACACCAACATGATGTGTTCTCTTCAGCAGAACCTTCTGTTCTCTGTTTGATGGGTTCTGATGTTCTGACAGCTCAGGGTTCTAAACAGAACCAGACTTGTTTCTGGATGTTCCGTTTTATTTTATTCGAGAACCCTGCAGCTGAGGTGGAACGTGAGACAAAAACGTTTAGAAGAGAACGCCGCAGAGACTTTACCCGTCAGGAGGAAAACAGAACCGAGAACAAGAGAACCTGAACTTCTCAGGACGTCTGACAAAGATCTGAACAGCAGCAGAACACGGAGAACCCTCAGCTACGTGAGCCGTGTTCTGCTCTAAGGCCGACCCGGTTCCTTTGGTTCAGGATTATTGATGGTGGCACGGCGTGACAGATGAAGTTGTGTGTTAACTTGATGAGTTCATGCAGATTATTTGAAAATCTGGATTAAGTTTGCGTGTGGAACATAAGAGAGAACATTTAGAATATCAGTTTTCTGCTGACTCAGCATCTGATTTTAGACACGCTTGTGTTTTTAGCGTTTTATCCAGAAGCCGGAGAGAACATGTTTATTTGTTTTAATGTTTATATTATCATGTTTACCAGAGATAATTCATCTGTTTATCTTGAGATAATTAATTAATTTATAATCTGAAAACAACCATCTTCATGACAGATTAAAAAAATTAATAGATAATCCTAAAGTTTTTTTCTTGTATCTTACAGATTTAATTTAATAAGATCAAAAATATGTATTTTTAAGAGCTTTAAATTCTTTTCATCCTGATAAGTCATTTGAATTATCTTTCATTATTTATCATTCATTTGAACGGATGAAAGGCTGTATTTACAGTTTTTATTTTAAATTTGTCATTTTAAAAGACCATAAAGAGTCAAAGTCACACATTTGTCCTGAAAGTGAGAAGAACCTCAGGAACGTCATGACAGATGAACTTTTTAACAAATTAGTTTTCTTTGTCTGATTAAATCAGTCGCTAGGAACAACACGTGTTGATGAAAACCTGTACTGCTAACGCTAATTGCCCTGTGTGGCTAACGGTAGTTACCCTGTATGTCCAATGGTAGTTACCCTGTGTGGCTAACGGTAGTTACCATGTGGTAGTTACCATGTATGGCCAACGGTAGTTACTGTGTGGTTAACAGTAGTTACTCTGTAGCTATGGCTAATGTTTGTTACCCTATATGGCTAACCGTAGTTACCCTGTACAGTTCATTCAACCTTTATTTCTACAGGTTAATCCCATTGAGCCTCAGGGACTCATTTACAAGAGAGACCTGGTTTTAACAGAGTGATGACAACAGTGGAACAACAAAGACAACAATAGACAATCATAAAGGATGCGTACAAATTGAGATTTTTTTTTTAACAAGTGAAAATAAAATGGTATTTAAAAGAAAATGTATTAAAAAAAAAACGGGTTGTAAGGCAATGTAGAAAACTAAAAACAAGAACATATCTGCATTGGATTTTGCCAGGAACTTATTACACTGTACAGCTAACGGTAGTTAGCTTGAGGAAAAAGTGCTGAATTTTTCTTATAAACCATAGGAGAACCCAACAGAAAAAGTTTGGGAACCACTGAAGTTTAATAGAAATCTGTAAGATTGAAGCTGTTGTATTAAAAGTTGCAGTCTTTAAACACCAAAAGAAATGTTTTATTTTGCTGCCACTCCACTTTCTGCTCCCCAGAAAAGGTGGGAATCACCATGGCAACCAGTGACTCAGCAGTTCCAGGTTCCCCGACTGCTTTATTACCCAGGATGCTTTTCTTCTTGCTTATTTTCCGTCATGGCTGCTACCATAGATTCTGTTGGATTACAGCAGCTGTATGTCTGAGGGTTACTATTCACTCTGTGTTTCTGTCTGTCCCATTAAGAGCGCTGTCAGGGAGTGGCAGTCATAGCTCTGTTAAGACGTTAAAACGTCAGTCATTTTGTCACCTCAGATTATTACAGAGGAAATCCTTGAGTTCCTGTTGGTGGAGAATTAAGTCACCTTCAATGTTTCAAATATTCTGTTTTCGTTAAATTTAATCTGTAATCTCCAGATCAGAGAGTGCAGATATCCAGATGAGAGAGGGAGATTTTTGTCTCCTCTGGATCTGCCTCGTCATACAGATGCTGTATGAACACTTGAATGATTCGACACACATAAAGACTTGTTTCCAGAAGAAGAGACGGCCTCGGGGTCCATCAGAGGACCGTGTCTCCCTCCGTCCACCCCCCCCCGTCCCATTCGTCTTCCGCTCTGTGCTTCACTCCGTCTCCTCCAGACTCACAGAAGACGGTGGCAGATGGTGCTGCGAGGCGAAGACGTACAGAACCCGTCCTCCGCCTCCCTTTCTTCCTGTTCCCGTCGTTGGACGCACCGTCCCACCGTTGAGCTCGTCCCGCGGGGGGTGGAGGCAGATCTGAGCGAGGGGGATAAAAATTCTGCCACGGCCCAGTTAGCTGCTGCCTGTTTGTGACCCAGAGAAACAGAGGGCGATGTTTGTTGTTGACGAGGCAGGAAGGAGGGCGGCTTCACTTTGTCTTTTTATTATTCAACTTCCTGGGTGTCCTGGATGTGAAGGGTCTCAGTAGGACCGGAGAACTGTACCCTGGTCTGCTCACACTGTGATTATTTGTGTCATGATGCAGACTCCAAACAGCTGAAATTTAGCCAGCTCACCAAAACATCTTCTGTCATTAAAAACGAGAGAATCTGGTTCTGTCTAACTTCCCTCAGGTTGGTTCACAGATTGTTGTTGCATCGTTTCCACTTATCCAACAGCTGCGTCTAAACTGCTCTTATGATTCTGGTTTCCATGGAAACACTTTTCATTTTTCAAATTACAGCCAGTATCTTAAGACTTTGATTGACAGCTCAATGAGCCATTAGGTGGTTCTGTGCCTTCTCCTTTGAATGGCTCCGCCCACTTTTGGGTGAAAAGCTGTCAAACTGGAAATAAAATGGGTTAAGTCTAAAAAAAAGTTTCCCTAAACTGTGTAAATTACTTTTTCTTTGATCAAAGTGGGATTTTACTGTTTTAGAGTTGTTTAAAATCATATTATTCACTGATGGAGGTTTAAACTACCGGTGAACCATCCTGTAGCATGCTGTATATTAATTATTGATTTACTTTCCTTTTATTTCCACACATTACAAGCAACCAAAACTGTAAAATAAATCAAGTTAATAAAGTTAAATGTGATGAGTGTAAATACATTCCCCCGGTTGTGTCTGTATAAACAAATAAGGCCATGAAGCACTGCTCATCTAATCTGATGAATTTTAATCCAGATTTATGGAGGTTTTTATTTAATGCTGGAAAATGATGATCAGCAACTCTGTACGTTTATTTGAAGCAGTTTTCTTAAACACCTCAGGAGTTCCTTTTGCTATAACTCAAAGTAGTGCATAGTATTCACCCAAAAAAGGGCGGGACTTTGTTTTCACCCCTCAAAAATGGGCGGGACTTTGCACAGAGGCCAAGAACCCATGTGTTGCTCCACCGTTTGGCCCAAGTTTCTTGTTTCTCTTTTAGAAAACATTCAATTTTTGTTCTCTTCTTTGATCCAGGCCAGGTGGCTGCGGTTCTGATCAGATTTACAGCCTCAGCCGTCAACAGGTTTACAGGTCAACCTGTTTACAGGTCAACCTGTTTACAGAAAATACAAGTCTAACTCGTGTCTCAGGAATACTTAGGCTCGTTCTGTTTGGGTAAAGGGTTCAACCAGAAACAAACATTTCCTGCAGGTGGTTCTGGATCAGGACTCAGATAATTTTTATTAAAAAGAAAAAAAAATATTCTCTGGTTCAACAAATCCAGACTTTCTCATCAGAGTTGAAGAATATTAGTTTGGGTTTTGGGGGATCCTGACGTGTTTGCGGCTGGATTTCCAGCTCAAACTGGGACTTTGTTCCTGTTTGGATCTGAATGCTGAGAGTGGAACATTCTCTTGTTAATGTGGTTGATGATTGGCTGGTTCTGGTTCTGTGGTGCTGCAGAGGAATGTTTTACCCTCAGGTATGGAGGTCTGCCATCATCTGAAATGAATGGGCCCGATCAGTAATTGCCACATCAATAATTGAGCCCACTCCTCTGCTTTCAGCGAGTGTACAGAGTCTCTGCAGAACACAGTCCACAACACTTCATGAATGACTCAACACCAAATTCTGCTTCTGATGTTCTTGTGTTTCCTTCCAGATTTGTGCCGGGCCAAGGCGTGGTTTTGTACCCGCAGATTGGGGACAAGTTGGACATTGTGTGTCCGCGGGTGGACGGCGGCGTGAGCGACGGCGTTGAGTACTACAAGGTGTACATGGTTCCCAGGGAGCAGCTGGAGAGCTGCACCATCACCAAGGCCGACACGCCGCTGCTGAACTGCGTCAAACCGGACCAGGACGTCAAGTTCACCCTGAAGTTCCAGGAGTTCAGCCCCAACCTGTGGGGCCTGGAGTTCTTCAAGGGGAAGGATTACTACATCATCTGTGAGTACCCAGAACCCCTCAGAACACAGTGCACACACACACAGGCAACAGAACCAAAGACCTGGTCCATTCACACTGAGCCGGGTCCAGTCAGCCACACTGGTACCATCCTGAGAAGAAGCTTTTCAGGACGGCCCCCCCCATCTGTGTGGCATCAATGGGGGGTGCTGGTGCTGCAGATCGGACCATCTGGGAGGTTCTGCCAGGGCCATCTGTGCGCCGTCACAGTGGGTCGGGAAGAGTTCTGGAAGGGATGGTGGGAGGGGTTGCTTTAAAACCACAAACTAAGAGCTGGGTTCTGTTTCTGTTCACTGAATGCTCTGGTTCCGGTCTAAAACCATCGATACAGAGTTCCGGTCTAAAACCATCGATACAGAGTTCCGGTCTAAAACCATTGAGACAGGGTTCTGGTCTAAAACCATCGATACAGGGTTCTGGTCTAAAACCATCGATACAGGGTTCTGGTCTAAAACCATCGATACAGGGTTCTGGTCTAAAACCATCGATAAAGGGTTCTGGTCTAAAACCATCGATACAGAGTTCTGGTCTAAAACCATCGATACAGGGTTCTGGTCTAAAACCATAGATACAGGGTTCTGGTCTAAAACCATAGATACAGAGTTCTGGTCTAAAACCATCGATACAGAGTTCTGGTCTAAAACCATCGATACAGGGTTCTGGTTCTAGCCAAACCAGTCTGATACAGAGTTCTGGTCTAAAACCATCGATACAGGGTTCTGGTCTAAAACCATCGATACAGAGTTCTGGTCTAAAACCATCGATACAGAGTTCTGGTCTAAAACCATCGACACAGAGTTCTGGTCTAAAACCATCGACACAGAGTTCTGGTCTAAAACCATTGATACAGGGTTCTGGTTCTAGCCAAACCAGTCTGATGCAGAGTTCTGGTTCTGACCTGTTCCAGCTGCAGGTCTCCAACACAGCAGGACTCGTTCTATGAGTCAGAACGAGAACATAAAGAGAACAAACTTTAAACACTTTGTTAGAAAAATATTGTTTCTGAGCATTTATCACACTGAGACCTTTGATCGACCTTTGACCCCGCAGTCACACAGCTGAGACCTTTGATCGACCTTTGACCTCGCAGTCACACAGCTGAGACCTTTGGTCGACCTTTGACCCCTGCAGTCACACAGCTGAGACCTTTGATCGACCTTTGACCCCTGCAGTCACACAGCTGAGACCTTTGATCGACCTTTGACCCCTGCAGTCACACAGCTGAGACCTTTGATCGACCTTTGACCCCCGCAGTCACACAGCTGAGACCTTTGATCGACCTTTGACCTCGCAGTCACACAGCTGAGACCTTTGATCGACCTTTGACCCTGAGCTGCAGGTGTTAAGGCTTCAGGTACCAGATCACCTGGTTTTATCCTTTACTTTGTCTCATGTTTCAAACTCAAACATCTAAACTGAGTCTGGATCAGGACCAACTTGTTCCGGGCTTTGGTTCTGGAGCTCCTCCTGACCCCCCCATGCTGTAAAGCCCTCCTCTTCATCGTGCTGCTGAGTCGACAGTTTGAACGAGAACAAACTGTGGGAAACGTCGATTCACATCTGTAACAGGAAGAGGTGGAAAATCCTATGGTCCTGCAGAGACTCATCCTCTTTTCTGTCTCCCACAGTCTTCTGTCTCCATCTGTCTTCAGCCTTCTGCTG